TTCATTTTCAACCACAAAAAAGATGTGATTTGTCATAAAGAATACATTTTTTTCTAGAATAATGGTTACCAAACGGTGCCATAGTCAATAATTAAATGCAAAATCCTAAAGTAAAAACGAAGGTTGCGTAGTGAGAGCAAAATAAAATTTTGATTGACAACGCAAAAGCACAAAAAGACAGTTTGGGCAACCAAAAAATGAATAACGGTATTTGTCATCATGATGATATGTTCAATTAAATGCAAAGACTTTCAATCCATGTTAATGAACCTAGCCTTAAATGTCATCTAAACTTGATGATTACAAATAACATTACTCAGAAAAATTGCTACGAAAATAGAAATTTAAGTTGGGAGAACAATTTTCCATACTTTTGCTGGGGAAGAATCTGCAAGAAATCAGATAGTGGTGACTGAGGGTTTGGCATGGGTGGGTGCTAGTGGTGACTGATGATGACAAATAACATTACTTGAGCATTAATAGATTATCCAAGACCAAAATACGGCATATAGTTATTCTTCTTTATGAAAATTAAACATATTTCCACAAGTTAATCTCTTCGTTAGCTTATTTTGATTCTCCTCCTTGCAAATGTTCAGAAAGAACCCGGAAGTCTTACATTTGATTTTTTCTGAAAACTGCAAGGAAGCATTCTTTGATGGTCAGTTGTATTGAGGAGTCATTCCCTTTGGGAAGTCACATCCCATATGATCCCGTGCAATAGGCCTTCCACCTTTTGGTTTTGACCTGCAACTTTCCTACTTCATGTACACTTGTATGCTTATCATACCCACTCGACCTCTCAACTGGCAAAACTGTGAGCAGCTATCAAACATATTCGGATTATGTGCAAAAGATATCCCACGATATCCAAAAGAGAAAAGAGAAAGTCAACATTCCAAATAAGTGGAACCACTGGATCCTCCTGCAAAAAGAGCCTACCGCAAAAGCTGCAAAGGAACGCAGTCTGTTACTATGCTAATCAAGAGCAGCCAAAAATATACACCCATATGAGATAAGATGATCAAACATCTTTGTACTCAGTAAACATAGTATAAAATAGTAAAGAAAGAACATTAATTGTTGACATACGAGAGAAGAAACAATAATAGGATGGTAAAAAATTAGCATGTAAGAAAGGACTAAAGAAGCTAGGTTTGTTTGAGACTCTTTATTATCTTTCCATCTTGTTGAAAAGTAAAGAGAAGGAGGTGCAGTTTAATAGCAATGTTGTCTAAACTCGTATCATATGGACTGATGTATTGAAATTGGAATATCACGGACTAAATTGAAACTTCTATAAAAATTTAAGGACTTTGGAACAGAGTAAATAGTTTTCAGTTTTCCCTATTTGGCTTCATGGAGTCATGCACCACCTATATGGATAGTAGCATCAACACTTATTGCATAATGTCTTTGCTTTGTAAGTACTCTTTTGCTAACTATTTGTTCCTACCTGTTAAATGGCAACTACAAAAGAAGTAAAACTAATCCTAGTCTTCACTACTTTTTGCCAATAGTATTCACATTTACTTTCTTTCTCCTTTTCAGAACGACTACAGTTGCTACAACATTATCCATCTCTCAATTCCTCGTTTGAAAGCATATGAAATGAAAAATGATATCTATGCTCTATGATATGCCATATAAAAACCCATAATTCCTACACTGTCAGCAGACAACATTTCATCTCTCAAAATGTTATGTGCACACATCAGGCCTGCTAAGGTTGCTAGTAGTATTTACCAATTCCCTTGATCCCTTCTATTCTTTTGATGGAATTCCAATATAAAGAGACGCCCCAATAGAAGTGTTTAGAAGAAAGTACCATTTCTCAGTCCCCTCTTTTTACTCTGTTCAATTGAATTGCAATAAGCAACTCAAGCAACCAGATCAAAACAAATTACTAAATTCTTTATGATTATAG